CATCATCATCATCAGCATCATCATCAGCATCATCATCATCATCATCATCATCATCATCATCATCATCAGCATCATCATCATCATCATCATCAGCATCATCATCATCATCAGCAGCATCATCATCCTCATCATCATCAGCAGCATCATCATAATCATCATCAGCATCATCATCATCACCACCATCACTAGCAACAGCAGCATCAGCATCATCAGCAGCAAGAGTATCCTCAGCAGCATCAGCAGCAGCAGCATTCCCTCTCGTTCTCAGCGTCATCACCATCAGCATCAGCATCAGCATCATCATCATCACTATCACCATCATCATCATCATCATCATCATCATCATCATCATCATCACCAGCATCAGCATCATCATCATCAACATCATCGTCATCACCATCGTCATCCTCATCACCATCATCAGCATCATCACCATCATCGTCATCATCGCGGCTCTCCCGAGCCTGGAAACACAGGGTAACACGCGTGACGGCCTCCCATGTCCACTCGAACAGTCGCCAACCACAGCGCTGAGCTCGCACGGTGGCGGAACTTACCGGAAGCAGTTTGATAATCTGTACAACAGGTAAATCACAACAATTGGCTTATAACTTCTGGGTTAGCCGCGTCCGGAGCGGGCGAGAAGAGGAGGAGAAGACGGACACAGGCAGAGGAGGAGAGCGGGGGAAAGGGGGCTGGGGGAGGGAGGCTCGGCGACTCACTACCCACAGTGGAAACATAAGGTAGGTTCCCACGCCCCGTCCAGAACTGGTCCACGCAAGTCTCTATCTGGTTTCCTCCTGGCCTCCTCCCCCATCCTCCTCTTTAATCGCCCTCCTTGCCTTGCCAACTCTCCTTCTCTTGAGATGTGTTCTGAGATCAAGACTCTGGGACCTCTGGAGCCAGGCATCTTGGGGGAACTGCTCCGATAATACAGGCAAGCCAGGATCAGCTAGTAATTCGCTGTCCAAGCCGCCGTGGCATGTGCTAGAGAGGAAGAACAAGGCAAGGAAAACAAATTCGCATCTGAGGACCCTCTAGTGACCCCATTTCCTTGCAGTCCAGCAGGAGGTGGGAAATAACCGAACCAGAAGCTTACATTTCAGATTGCGGTTGTGAGGATGGCTACCGTAGGCCATCTGAATATCAAAGGCCTCGGTGCAATGCGGTGCCGCAACAGGTCTGGAAGCGTCGCCTAGGATCAGCATGCCTTGGAACAAGGGCGAACTTGTAGATGGCTCCTGCCGTGACGACACGGACGTTCAATCCCGACACCACGTAGAACGCTCCACCTTGAGAGATCGGACAGCACGGAGATCGCTCGAGACCCGCCTGGCTTTGGCCGCTGGCTGCCCTCAACCAACCTTGAACCCCAAACCCGTCGTCGCCACCGCGTCGACGCGGCGCGAAGCTGCCGTACGGAAGGTAGCATGCAATCACATGGGGCATGAAGCCGCCGCGCGCCTGGGCGTTCGCGACAAGAACGGGCGGGGCAGACCGGAAGGGCCCGCGGGCAGACTGGCCCGCCGGCTCGGCGATCCTTGCGCAGCTCGTGCACCTCCTCGTTCCCCCCTCGGACCCTCTGCAGCATCGCGAACACCTCTCGGTTCGCTGGCACCTGGGGGCAGCGGTCGGAGACAGCGGGGGGAGGGGCAGGGGAAGGGCGCTGCGTCTGGCGCCGGGGAAGAAGGCAGCCCGTGGCAGGAGCAGGAAAAGCCGAACAGGAACACCTCGAGCCGCACCCTCGTGCCCATTGAGAAGTTCCCTGGGGACGGATAGAGGGAGAAAGAAAGAGAGAGAGAGAGACTATGCGCGTTGACTGTAACGTAGCACCCCGCAAATGCGGATAAGAATGAGGGGGCGGTGGAAACGTCGGCAGTGTGCGAGACTCTGGAGAAGCCCGCCGCCGGCGCCGATTTTTTCGTGAAACCAATGTGGGTAGGTCGCGGATGGGTCGCGGGTGGGTCGCGGGTTGGCTCGCGGGTGGGTCGCGGGGCGGGTCGCAGGGTGGGTCGCGGGGTGGTTCGCGGGTGGGTCGCGGGGTGGGTCGCGGGTGGGTCGCAAGTGGGTCGCGGGTTGGTCGCGGGCGGGTCGCGGGGTGGGTCGCGGGTTGGGTCGCGGGTGGGTCGCGGGGCGGGTCGCTGGATGGGTCGCGGGGTGGGTTGCGGGTGGGTCGCGGGGTGGGTCGCGGGTGGGACGATAAACAACAACAGCAACAGCAACAGCAACAGCAACAGCAACAGCAACAGCAACAACAACAACAACAACAACAATCATACGACCCTCATGCGCGATGTTTCCACACAAAACATGCGACCGTCATGATAGCGATCCACGTAATTGGGGACTCTTGTTCTATAGCGGGGTCTCTCTCTCTCTCTCTCTCTCTCCCGTTATTCCAATCCCCAGATATCCCGCCCGATGAGGTCTTGCAAACACCTCCTCCAACACATCCGGCCTCGAAAACACATGCCCGCGCCTTGCTGCGCCGATGCGAGAC